GATCTAGCCTCTTAGGACCGAGATACCACGTAAAGTTGTTAACTTTATGTGCATGCAAGGCTTCAAAGGGATTAAAACACTAGAACTAAGCTTAATAGGAGGTTTAGAGCATGGAAGAGGGCCAAGACTAGCAAAAGTCGACCATTTTATGTTCATGGAGGCCTAGAGGTGTCCAGATCTGAAACCACCACCTCTGGACAAGCTCAAATCTGAGAATGACCTCATTTTGCACTAGAAATGATCCTATTCTTGCATAAGGGAAGATCTAAGAAGTGGAAAGCCAATGTAAAGACTTTTTACCTCCAAATGATTGCTAATATAGAGTAGACGTTGGATCTACTGCTTCTCCCTTTGCTCTATCGTCTTCAACCTTCAAACCTTCCCAAAAGAGCACCAAAACTGACCTTCTAAGCTCTCATACACAAAGAAGTGGTAAAAAACGGCTAGGGTTTCCTTCTCTGTGTAATGAGGTGATAAGGGAGGCCAAAGAATGCAGATTAAGTCCTTTAAGTAGGGTGCAAACCCTAAAATTTAGGGTTTCGAAGCACAGACTCTACTTGTCGAGTAGGTCCTAAAATTTAAGTTGAATTGGGTCCTCCAACTCGTCGAGTAGGTCCTAAAGTTCACGCGGCCTCATCCGCTTCTACACGACGAGTTGGGGCATCCAACTCGTCGAGTAGGTCTAAAAATATGGATAGAAAGCTTTTAAATTTTATACCTGGGAGTCGGGATGTTACACAACGTCCCAACATCGATTGTGATGAGACGTTTAGTTGGGTTGTTAAACCGACAACTACCAGTCAAACGTGAAAAATGTTTTTCTTCACGAACATCTTCACGAGACTTTCTACATGCGTTAACCCCTAGGATTTCGATACTCCACAAATCAAGATTATGTCTTTAACCTTCATAAGTCTCTTTGCGGTCTTGATCAGGGCTCATGAGCTTGGTTTCACTGATTCACAGAGTACATCTCCAGAATCGGCTTTGCTCATAGCAAAATTGATTCATCCCTTTTCATTTTCAAGATAAATGATGGAATTGCTTATTTGTTATTTTATATTGATGATATTATATTGACATTCTCCTCATTAGAACTCCATCAGAGCACCATTTACAAGATGTCTACTGAGTTCGCCATGACAGACCTAAGGCACATTTCATACTTTCTCTCTATTTCAGCCACCCAAAGAGGATCGACTATTTTTCTTTCTCAGCGGAAATATGCATTGGAATTATTAGATCATGCTCACATGGCAACGTCCAACCCTATCGCACCCCAGTTCAGTCTCAAACGAAGTTATCTCATGATGGTCCTCTTGTTGCTGACATGACTCTTTACCGTAACCTTGCGTGCAACCTTCACTACCTCACATTCACTCGCCCGAACATCTCTTTTTTTGTTCAGTAAATCTATCTACACATGCACGACCCACTACTACAAAATGAATCTAATGCAACCTTTTAGATGCAACCTTTCGACAATAGTTGCATTTGATTATAAAGAAGTTCATGTCCAACAAAAAGGTTGCATTAAAAGATTTACTGCAACCTTTTTTATAAAAGTTGCAAGTTATATTAAAAATCCAAACTTTTTTAAAAAAAAGTTGCAAATTATATTTAACATTGTAACTTTTTTCTCAAAGGTTGCAAATTTTATAAAAAATTGCAACTTTTATTACAAAAGTTGCATTGTTAAAACATAAATGCAATTTTTAGTGTAAAGGTCCATGTTTTATAATTTTGCAATTTAAATTATAAAATAAAATAACCAAAATTTAATTAAAACACTTCCATATATAATTTAAATATAATATCCAAGATAATAATTATTATTATCAAATAAACTTCAAATTTTTTTTAAATATATTTTTCGTACATTTATTTTCATAAAATTTCATTTACATATCTTATCTAATTTCATTTCCCTCTCAATAAATAACCTTTTATTTCAATTCCGCTATTTTTTTTATTTCCCTCTAACTAAATCATACTATACTTTCCAATACTTGACTTTTCAACTAAAAGCACGGTATACACAATTACATACGATCTTTCCACCGACATCATATTACTCTCAACCCTAACTCGCGAGTCACGCAATCACTGCCATTGAAGGTAGCAGGCTCACAGTGCCATTCATTGGCACTGTTCATCTCGTTTCCAAAGTTTCGATTAACACCATTGAAGGCTCCAAGGCTTAGTTATCTTCGTACCTGCTCTAAATTCAAGGCAAGCGACAAAAGCTAACTGGAACTTTATTTAACCTAATCGATTCCAAGCTATTTCGTCTCTATGATTTGACTGGCTAAATCTTTTCTCTACTCTCGGTTATTCTTCCACAGGTGCCAAGAGGCGGAATACCCTCATCTAATTGCCAATTTCAACAAAGCTTCTTACTTTAGTCCGTCTACCCAAACCAGGTATGACCCTGTACCTTTTTTCTCAAATTACTCTTCTACTTAATCTAAGTCAATAGATTTTCGCTTCAGAGCGTAGCTAATTGATTCAAAGTTGTTTGTTTAATGTTTTACTGTGCATATACATGTTAATCTAATACGGTTGAAAGTGTGCCATACAACCATCTAATACACCATACAACTATACTTGATCACTTATACAACTGTACATGTATGAGATTCCACCCTATTCACATATGATTCCGTTCCATTTACATGATTTCGTTTCATCCATTCCACCGTGCTCACATGACTGCATTCCAACCCTATCCAACAGCCGATTATAAACCCTGTTGTACTTAAATGCCAATCTTGAATTTCTTATAGGATGATAAAAATTATTCAATTTGGATTCCAGTTGATGTCAGAAATATAACATTAAGAACTCCGGTTGCTGGCATAAATACTCTTGCCACATTCTCAGCATATATTCGAGCTTCAAAGGCTTGCCATACAAATTGCAATAAAGTTATATGAAAACATAGACTCAAAGTAAATGCAAGCATACATACATATTGGGGGCTTGACAAAAAAATGGGAAGGAATTGAATAAAATTCGTTGAAAATAAATTCCATGAATATATGAAGGATTCAAATTTCAAAACACCCATGGAATGGAATCTTAAATTCCATTTCCATCTGATCATGCAAGAATCTATAACAAAATATAAGAAGAAAAATATACTGAAAGCACAAATTGACCTGATTTAGGAATCTGTACTTGACCAAACGGGATTGATTCTCCATTAGCAACACGGATTTGCCATTCTACAAGATCTGGACGAAAATCATCTCAGTCACTAGATGTTCAACCTGAAAAAAAAAATCAAGAGTATCCCTCATTACTCTTTAGCTTTAGCTACTACATGTCATTAATATAAACAGATACAAACTTCCATATGAGTAAAACCATTCAAAATATCTTACTTTTTCTCCTTTTTTTTTGGAGAAAACAAGATTATAGACTCCTTCATTACCTTGGCAGCAGATACAGCAGCTTGACCTAAGTGTGAACTTAATGATATCTGGGTGAAGAACATAACAGAGGTTTGTTAAAATAATTTGGTCAAGAATGATACTAACAGTATGGAAGGAGATATTGGATTCTTTTAACAACAAATGATATTACAGAACATAGAAATTGTTGGAGAAAGCATATCTAAACAAGAAGATAGAAGGAGATATTGTGTAGGAAACAAATAGAATTTTTATTAATCAAATATCAACAACATTTACATAAGATAACTACACATATATATACCCCGTAATGGGTACTTCTTAATGATCACAACGGTTCAGGAGAACCATCATAACTCTTTGTCAGAACCGGTGAAACTCTTGGAGAGATAAGCACATTAACTTCCATCTTGTAACTGTTGTTAACAAGAATCGTTACCAGATAAGTCTAGCTTATATCTTTAACAGAAATAGAGTAATTTAGAAGCACCTTATAGAACACACAAATAAAATAATTTATTTTACATGAATAGGATATAATATTACAAATACACCTCGATGAACATCACCACATCCTCTTTTGATTTTATTCCTTTTTCCCTTGTTATCTGTTGTTCCTAGAAATCCCCTTGGTCAACACTTTGAATACATTACTATTTTGTTTCTAGAATTTTAAAATTAAAAATAGTATTTGCAAAAGATATTTACCAAATGCTTGTACTTTTTAACCGATTTACTAAAAAATTGTATAGTTTAATTTTTAATATAATAATAATAATATAAAAGGAATCATTAATAAATGATTGTAATGTTGTCCAATCGGTATCAAAAACCCAAAAAATTGAATAATATCATAATTACATTATTATTAATTTGAGTATATAAAAAATACAAAAAATGAAAAATATATATATATATATATATATATATATATATTTTAAAATTCCCGGTTTTATTGGTTTGACCGGACCAGTTTTTACCGGAACATACAAACCTTTTATTTTACCGAGTTTACCAAAATACCCCCGAATAAAATCCATGGCTAAACCTGATGCATAGCAGTGTCATTACATTAGGAGTTGTACACTCCCATATTTTTTTTACTTTGCTTGACAATTATCAAAAATTTCAAAACTCTATTAATAAAGATACAATAAATACACCTTTCTATTTATTGAATTAACCCATAATAAATATCTAAAAACTTTCAAAAGCCAAACTTGAAACCGACTAGGTTCTTCTGATGTTTCTTACCCAAAAACAATTTGGCTTCTAACTAGTAGATCTTTATTCTTTACTATAGTTTAATGTTTCTATTAACTTCAGGGTATGAGAGACATAAGGAATGTTAGAGATTGGATGTATTTACCTAGACGGTTACCTAAGTCTGAATATGGTGTCATTGAATTTCTTAATACCTCGTTTGCTAAGGAGGCAAAGGGTGGGCAAATTTGTTGTCCCTACAAACGGTGTAAGAACCGTTATTAGTATCGAAGGGATAAAGTATTCGATCATTTAAAAGGATACGGGTTTGTAGAAAACTACTATGTATGGGTTTTTCATGGAGAAAACTCTTCACAATCAATGTCTAATACTGTCATAGACGATGATGGAGCTGGTATGCATGACAATTTTGATGAATTATTGCATGATAGGTTTAGAGATGTGGCAGAAGAAATAAGTACGGTGCAGGAAGGCTTAAATGAAGAGGCCACAAAGTTCTATAAACTAGTGGAAGAAGGAAAACAAGAGTTATTCCCAGGTTGTAAAAATTTCACAAAGCTATCTTTCATCATCCGACTTTTTCTCTACAAGACGCTTCATGGGCTAAGTAATGTAGCATTTAATGATCTATTACAACTTTTTCAAGAGGTGATTCCAGAGGCAAAACTTCCTACTAGTTTTACACAAGCTAAAAATATCGTGAAGGATTTGGGGCTTGACTACAAAAAGATTCCCACGTGTCCGAATGATTGCATGCTACACTGGAAGGATCATGAACAAGATGATACCTGCCACATCTATCATACCTCTAAGTGTAAACAATTTGATGAGAAACAAGAGAGTAAGCATGTCAATGAGCATTCCAAAAAATCTTCAAATGTTCCTGCTAAGGTTGTGTGGCATTTTCCTTTAAAACCAAGGCTCCAAAGACTTTTCATGTGCTCTGAAACAGCTAAATATATGATGTGGGATGACAAAGGACGTCCTAATGATGGAAACTTACGACATCCTGCAGATGGGAAAGTTGGAAGAAATTTGATTCTTTGTATCCTCAATTTGCAAAAGAAACTAGAAATGTAAGGTTAGGGTTGTCAAGTGATGGATTTAATCCATTTCGAACAATGAGCATTGCCCATATCACTTGGCCTGTGGTATTAGTTAACTATAATTTGCCTCCATGGATGTCACTGAAACCCGAATACTTTATGTTGTCTTTGTTAATTCCTGGACCCGACTCACCAGGTAATAACATTGATGTTTATTTACAACCTTTAATTGAGGAGCTGAAAGAATTATGGGTTGATGGGCTAGAGAAATATGATAAATATAAAGATGAAAGCTTTAGAATGTATGCAGCCTTAACATGGACAATTAGTGATTTTCCAGCTTATTCCATGTTGTCAGGGTGGAAAACTAAAGGAAAATTTGCATGTCCATGTTGTAATCATGAAACGAGTTCACTCCAACTAAAGCATAGTAAGAAGACATGTTATATGGATCATAGGTTTTTAGATGCTCAACATCCATGGCGACGTAATAAGAGTGCTTTCAATGGTAAAACTGAAAAGAGACCTTCTCCAAAACCCCTATCAGGAGATGCAACTTTGAGAGAGTTGTCTACCTTTCAAAAGATCTTTGGGAAGACACAAAAGAAAAAAAAATGATAGCAATTGCCCATGGAAAAAGAGGTTAATATTTTTTGAATTGCCCTATTGGAAATTTATTGAATGCCGACATAATCTTGATCCGATGCATATCGAAAAAAATATAACTGATAATGTGGTAGGGACTGTGTTGGATATTAGTGGAAAGTCGAAGGATCATGTAAAAGCTCGATTTGACCTTTTGGAGTTGGGCGTTAAAGAAGGACTTCAACCAGAACTTTCTAAAGACGGTGAGAATGTTATATTCCACAATGCATGTTTTTCAATGTCATCAAAGGAGAAAGAAATTTTTCGTCGTGTTTTGAAGGAAGCAAAGTTGCCTTATGGATGTGCATCTAATATTTCCCGATGTGTTAATTCTTCAGAAAAGAAATTTTCGGGTTACAAGAGTCATGCTGCTCATATCTTTTTGCATTACTTGCTTCAAGTTGCAGTGAGAAAATCATTACCAAAGCATGTTGCAATCCCATTGATTAGGATGGGTGGTTTTTTTCGTAGTTTGTGTAGCAAGGTAATTAGGCCCGAGGAACTTGATAGATTACAATTAGAAATAACTCAAATATTGTGTGAATTTGAGAAAATATTTGTGCCAACGTTTTTTGACATAATGGTGCACTTACCTATCCACTTAGTAAATGAAGTTAGACTTGGAGGACCTGTTCAATATAGATGATTGTATTTTATGGAAAAATACATGTGCAAGTTGAAGTCATATGTGCGAAACAAGAGTCGTCCAGAGGGTTCCATAGCAGAAGGATATTTGATTGAAGAATGCTTGACTTTTTGCTCACGCTATATGCATGATGGAGTAAAAACAAGACTTAATATGGATTCAAAAGATGTCGATGATATGGATGAAGAACATGAGTCTGGTGGACCAATATTTGTCAATAAGGGTCATCCTATTAGAGGTAAAAAGCGAAGAAAAGGAAGGCTTATAACTTTAGATCTTATTTTAAGGGAACAAGCACATCATTCTGCCTTATTCAATTCTGATTGTGCACAAGTTCATGAATATATCAAGTAAGTAACCAATTTATAGCTAACATTTCTTCAAATTAAATGTATTATATAACTTAATTCACCTTTAATTTTCTTTTGTCTACGTAATGATGCAGTGAGCATAAAGTTTATATTGACACTCAACCACGAAAAAGACGATGGGCACGTGCCCAAAACCATAGTCATGAGTTTGCCGACTGGTTAAAAGAGAAAGTTAAAAGTAATAATGTTCCGGATCATATTTTTTGGCTTGCTAAAGGTCCTAGTCCTACTTCAAAGAGATATCACGGGTATTATGTCAATGGATATAGGTTTCATACAAAATCACGAGATGCTAAATGCCATACTCAGAATAATGGTGTTTCTATTACAGCTTTAACTCCTAGCTTTGCAAGTTCTAGAGACAAAAATCCAGCTGTGGGGGATGTTGACTACTATGGTAGAATTTTGGATATACTTGAACTCGACTATTAGTCGCAGTTCAAAGTTGTTTTGTTTCGTTGTGAGTGGTACCAAGTAGAGAAAGACGATTATGGATTAACATGTGTTAATTTCAACAAGTTTTGCTCTTCAGACGATCCTTTTGTCATGCCTTCCCAAGTAAACCAGGTGTTCTATGTTGCAGACCCTATAGAATATTTTTTGCATTAAGTTCTCAATAGGGTTCCTAGAGATATCTATGACCTCGAAGATGAAAGCAGTGAAACTATTGGTGACTCGTATTGGTCCGAGCCTAATGAAGACAGGTTCAATTCTTTTGCACAAGTTAGTGAACATGAGATTCAGTTGTCAAGAAACGATATGCCTCCTCTTGTAGTTGATGCAAATACAAATTTAGATGAGGCTGATGAAGCTAATAGTGATAGTGGAGGCGATTCTGATTATGACGATACATTATGGGATTGGATGGAAGCAGATGAAGACGAGGCTCATTGAGATACTAACAATAATATTAATATTTACTTTTTTTATATTTTTGTAATAAGTTACTTTAATGCTTAAAACTTTTTGTGTTTACCTAAATTATTTCATGTCATTTTATGCATTGAATAATAAGCAAGTGATGATAAGTCAATACTTTGTGAAAGTTTAGTTTTGAAGGTAACTGAAAAACAAAGATTTTTTCTATATTTGATAGATTTTATTTTATTATGTGATGTTTATCTTGGTGGAATAATTTTCATGTTTTTTATTTTTTATTTTATTTTTAGATTCTGAGCAAGAGGTGCACGTGTGGTTGTTTTGCAGGTTCCTTTCGATTCAGTTTAATCGTAAGTACCGAAGTTGCATTGTGCCTTATTTTTCAGGTTCTTGTTTCTTTTTTTGATTTAATTTTATGATTGTAGGAAAAAATTACATGTAAGTGATACTACAATGCTAGTATTATGTATTTTGAACTTGAATTGATAATTTCACTTTTGAGCAGGCCGGTAATGGGAAAACAAAACAAGCAAGATCAAAGTGCACAAAAAGAAATGAATGATTATGAGAAGATTAGACTTTTGAGGATTCAAGAAAACCAAGCCAGACTAAAAGATTTAGGAGTTAAAAGCATTGCAAATTCTTTGACAAGTTTGGTAGAAAGTCAAAAACCAAAGAAAAAACAAGTGAAACCAACGTCTACCAGTGCTAGAGATTCAGACTATATTCCTGATGTGGGTGATGATAATGATGGAGATTACCAAGAAGTTGCTAGAAGTGTTGAAGTATCCAAAAAGGTAATTAGAATAGCAAATCTTTAATTGTTTTATTTTGATGCTGATCTTCAATAATGAAAAGTAAATTTGTTACAGCAACATCGTCCACAATATATTGCACCAATGTCCATGAATAGACTTGCTAATTTAACAAGCCAACGTCGGGTGATTGCTCCAAATGTCTTGAATAAGTATCCATTAGCTTCGAATGCAACAAAAGAAAAACAATCTAGATCAAAGACTAGTATGGGTGACTTAATCTTGAGGAATAAAGGACCGCAAAGGGGAAGGGATGTATTCAAACAAAATGCGGAAAAGCATAATTGTATCAGAAGCGGACCAAAGAGAGAATTGGCTCTTGTTGATGAGGATGAGGATGATGAGATATCTCAAGGTAGTCTCTTGTCAATCTAAATCTTTATTTAATTAATGAGAAATAACAGAGTCACCTCATAAAACTACATGTTATATTAGTTTACATTTCTATGATTTTTGATGTTATTGCAGCTGATATGGAGCAATTTGGGTTGAAAGATGATGTCAATAAAGGTCGTATTGTGCAATGTGAAGGTACTTTTGTTTAGTTTAATGAATATTTCATTTTTTTGTTACATTTTTTTGTAATTGCTATTTATTATTGGTGTTATATTTACTCATTAATTAGAAGATGATGTTGATCAAAATGATGACTATGAAGACATGGACCATATGACATATGCAAATATTGAAAATGAGATTGAAGTTGATGATAGCGATGAAGATTTGGGAAATGAGGATGATGTACTTTTTGAAGAACAATTAGAAGAGCCCCAATTAGAAAAGGAAACAGGTTCAACTTCATTACTTGATCATGCTTTTGGTTTGTCATAAATTTTATATATATATATATATATATATATATATATATATGTTGGAATGTAGTAATTTCTACACCCAAAAAAAGAGGACCAACAATGTTACATGCTGTTCACAAACGGAAAGTTAATCAACATGAGGTTATTATATGTAATGAATATGGACAACCCGTTGGACCGATAATAGAGGGGAAGGACGTAGTAGGAAAATTCTCTCGGTTTTTGGGTACAATAGCTCGTACCCATAGTTATGCACCATTGACATGTACTTTATGGCACAAAGTTCCACATAAAGATAAGATATGAGAGTATGTCTTGGTAAGTTTTTAAGTAGATTTATTCTTCCATCTACTTTTATTTTCCTTTCATTTTACGAATTACTATTTTTTAAGGGAAAATACGATGTGCCCGATGATGCTAAAACTTGGGTTCTTAGGACAATTGGAAATTTGTATAAGGTATACAAATGTAGGTTCAAGAAAAAACACTTCTATCAATTTAAGGACAATAAAACAAGATGGAAGAATCGACCTGAATGCATTCCTCAAGAAGAGTTCTCAAAACTATTAGTGTTATGGAATAAAAAAGATGTGGCGGTAATTTCAAAAACATTTTCTTTATTACTAGTGTTTGTTAACATTTGATTTCTCTTTAGGTGTATTTGATCAGTTGAGTTTTATATATTAATGTGTTTGTAGAAACGTTGTTTGTGGGCAAAAGAAATACGCAAGTCTCTAAAAAATATGCACACGGCTGGTCCAAAAAGTTTTGCTAGAATTCGTGACGAGATGGTAATTAATGTCTTCTTTTGCTTGTGATTTGTGTTTTTATTTTCACACACTTTGATACTTTCTTGTTGATATCTATATTATCATGAATATAGAAAAATGAAGATCCAAACAAGGAATTCCCAACTCTAAGTCAAATGTTTGAACGTACACGTAAAAGGACAGATGGGCGTGTATATGTCGATACATATGATGACATGGCAAATAAAATTGTAAGTTTGTATTTCAATTTTACAGTAGATTTTTCCTTTTGATAGTAAACTATCTTTTTAGACGTTAAATTGTTGTTTTTAGACGTTAAATTGCAAATTTTTATATGGTAAAATGCAGTTTTTTTGATGTTAAAATGCAGTTTTTTTAGATGTTAAAATGCAGTTTTTTTTACATAAAAACAGTCTTTTGATAACAGATTACAGATTTTTGGACATCAAATAACTGTCTTTTACAAAATAAAAAACTGTTTTTTCTACATTTAAATGCAGTTTTTTTACAATATAAACAACTTTTTAATGGTAGATGCTTTAGTAAAATTATCCTATTCATCTTATTAATCTTGTAGGAACAAATGAAGAAGTACGAACATGTAGAAGGTGAAAGTGATGTCGTAGATCCTTATATGATTGTGATGAAAAAAGAGAATGATGGATACCGGCGACTTTATGGTAGAGGCGTTACTAATAGATTGATAAAAAAAGTGGGTGGTGGTGATGCATCATATATGATTCCGGCGGGACTTATGGAATCATTCAAAGCAAATGAAGTTGAAAGAAATGAGTTGATTGAAATGCGGAAAGAGATTCAAGAGGACCATGAAAAAAAACAGGCCGAATTAGAAGCTATGCGAATAGAAATTAAAAACCAACAACAAAACCTTGAAGCCATGATGCGAAAGTTAGCGGAACAACAACGTCGAGAAGGTCGATAGTTGCTAATAGGATTTATCCTCTATGTTTAATACACATCTAGAATGTTTTTAATACTTTTTTTTGTGACTATAGTTGAGAATTTTGTGTTGACTTTTATTTATGGTTATTTTGAATTTAGACATGTCAAAAGAGACCAAAAAATTATATAATATATTTTTGTTATTATTGTTATGGTCTAATTTTAGTAGTAATGAATATTTGTAGCAATGTAGTAAACATATGTGACGTCTAAATGATTATGATTATGATTAGGGAAAAATGTCGCATTGAAATTAGAAAAATCACAAAAAGAAAGTTGCATTTGACTATAAACAAAGTTGCATTTTTTGCAATTAAAGACATAACAAAAGTTGCATATGTCATATAGAAAGGTTGCAATTCTTTATTAGAAAACATAATTAAGGTTGCATTTGATTATAAAAAAAGTTGGATTTTAGTAACTAAAACAGTTAAAAAAGTTGCATCTAAGTGTAAAAAAGTTGCATATGAGTATTAAAAAGGTTGCTTTTGCCTAACACACGCTGCAATAAAAAAAGTTGCATTTAAAAAAGATTTGCAACTTCTCAAACAAGGTTGCATTTTCGAAGAAAAAAGTTGCTTTAGATCTAATGCAACTTTACCTAATGCAACCTTTGATAAAAGGTTGCTTTAGGCATTATGCAACTTTTTTAAGGCCTAATGCAACCTTTTAGCGGGGTTGCATTAGCCTCATTTTGTTGTAGTGACCCCTGAGAGCCACACTTCCATGCTCTCAAGCGTATCCTCAGATACACATGAGGGACCACTGTCTTCGTCTTACATATGCATGCGTCTTCCACCACGGGTGGCATTGCCTACTCAAACGACGATTAGAGAGATGTCGTGTCTCACGTCGTTCCACTAGGGGTTATTGTGTTTATCTTGGCGACAACATTTTCGCATTGTCCTCGAAACGCCAAGACACAATTTACATATCAACTGCAGAAGCTGAATACCGATTTATTGCAAATGTTGTTGCACAGACCTTTCAGATCCGAATTTAGATCTAGTTTGAGCGTTCTTTCGTCTACTACCCTTCAAAATGCAGGGACGTATTAGTGTATCTTGTATTATGTATATTAGCACATTTTAGTTAGCCCATTGTATTTGTGTAGATAGGCTCATTTGTATTATCTTTTTATGTGTATATGGATTATGTGAATGTAGGGATGTCAACGGGGCAAACAGGACACGGGTTGCATCCCCTCCCCCACCCGCAAAATTTTACTGTTCCCCTGCCCCCGCCCCCGAAATCTCCAGTCTCCCCACCCCCGCCCCCGAAATCTCCAATCTCCCCACCCTTGAATTCCTTGATTACCCATAGGTTCAGGATCCCACAAGACTTTTTGACATCCCTACGTGAATGGAATGGAAGGCATGGGAAATTTTTCACCCTAATTAATCGACAATGCTACGATGTAGAATTTGAGAGTAAAAGACTTAATTCATTAATTGTACCAAAAGGGATATTTAAATACCAAGTCACGAAATAAATAAACACATAATTCAAACTATCTGAGTAGATAAAGACATAGAAAAACGATGAATATAAGGACGTAAGGATTCCTTCAACGTGTTATATAATATGTATTTTAGTTATATGTGAAACTAATTATATAGTAACTATGTTCTAGATTTAGTAAGACCGGAATATATTCATATATTTTCTGTTATGTTGTTCAAAAGTCAATTGACATAATCAATTGCTTGCGCCTCCCTTTATGAAAGATAATCTTCTTCCTGATCTTTCGGAGAGGTTTATAACGACGCAATAAACTTTTGAAGCAAAAGCAAAAGAATACCTACTCACTCCCGTTTTCCATATATGACTCAAATAGGTGATCGCCCATAAGGCCATAGCGTGTTATTGGCTTACTTTGACCATACATCTAAGCATGGGATTAAAATATGTATATATATAAAAAAATAAAAAATAAAAGCACGTTTTCTGGAAGCAAGTGAGAAGAAATACCATTTATCGAGACACGGAGTTTACATTTGCACATGCCTGGGTTGAATAAACAACCTTAAAGAAGTCTTCTAGCTACAATATAAAAACAAAGGAATTTCTTCTCATCCTCAATTGAATTGACAAAAAGCAGACTTCTCCTTCATTGAAAGGTAAAAATATTATCCCATTTCATCACTCTCACTAGAACGAAAATTTTCTTCTATATCATCCGTTTTTAAATTAACTTTTGTGTTAAATTTAAAGAAATTGGATGTATATATTATTGCAGGATACCTAGAGTTGAACATATTAAGATCGCAAGTAGTAATGGATTTGTCACCAGTATGGTTATCAGAAATGGTAAGCAACACATTCAATTTGTTTTGCGTATATTCAAGGCTTATAAGTAAAAAAATTATAGTCTTCGTTAACTTATTTTAATGGAATTTTGGATCTCTACTGCAGGAAACGGAAGAGATAGGATTCATGAATGGTGATGAGATAAGCCAACTTTTTGACACTATTATTGATAACTTCAGTGTTGATTCATTTTCCTCAGAATGCAATACAGAAAACATGACACCTATGGACCAATCTTTTAAGAAAAGATGCAGTATAATTCAGAAACGATCTCCAACCCCAGAACCCCTTATTGCTACTAGTCTTCCCTCATCTAACACTTTCACCATATCTTTTGGAGATCTAAAACCTAAAAACGAGATGCTCCAGATTAATGATTCACTTGGATATGAAGCTGTTGGTGCCACAAAGGTTCCAATAATGCCCAGGAATCCGATTCAGGCACAAGATCATGTTTTGGCAGAGAGGAAGAGAAGAGAAAAGTTAAATCGACACTTTATTTCCTTATCTTCCCTCATCCCTAAGCTTAAGAAGGTGCTTGTTTCTTTTTTACGCTAAAACTCTTAAAATGAGTTCTTATTTGTCTTAAGAACTTGTTAACACACTCAAAACACATAAATCATTAAGAAAATATAGATGAAGTAACTGTTGTTTGAACGTTTGTAGATGGACAAGGCTTCGGTGCTTGAAGATGCATCTACTTACATAAAAGAACTTCAAGATCGGGTGAAGGAACTGGAGGAATTATCAGGAACAAAGAGAAAGAATGTTCAAGAATCTGTTATTTCCATAAGGAGGTCTAGAGTTAGTACTAGTGATGATGAATACTACTCATCTGATGAAACGAACTCTGAAGACAATACTCATCTTTGCAAATTGTCACCTGAGATTGAAGTTCGGATGTCAGGAAGCAGTGTGCTTGTAAAAATTCAGAGCCAGAAAAACTTTTCTACCTTGATGAAAGCTTTAACCCAGATGCAGAAGCTTGGATTGTCGATCATCAGTAGCAGTGCCATGCCTTTTGCTAAGACCACACTTCTAATCAATATTGTTGCTCAGGTACATGAATTCTGAAACCCTAATGATCACGATGAATAATAACAATAGTGAAATTAGTCCCCACATCTAATAATTAATCATTCAAATTAATGTATTGGAGTGTGGTGATTACATGTTGGGGAAGTTTATGTGATCATTTGGGAGGCTAACAAATTAACCATTTGGATGTTATACGACTACAGCATGTAAAGAAATATAATATGATATAAAAATTTTGTTATATCTCCTACAGAATTAAACCCCAAAAATTCTGAAGTTATATATTTGACGTTTAGTATTTTTCTGTGTCATGTTTTTGTACACAATTGATTGGAAAGTAATATTTGTATGCATCTAAATAGGAAATTCCGTTTTCTTTTATTTGTGCAGATTAAGGATGACTTTTGTATGACAGCAGCAGAACTTGTAAAGAACCTACAGCAAGTTATATGAACATTGATGAAACACAATTAGTAGTTCAATATTTCCATGTACTTGATTATCGTTATATAGTCATTTTTCTGTTTCCATATCATAGTTCAGAAGGAGGAAATTTGAGAACATTCTCATCCCCATCTTTGGGTTTTTTTCGAGTACTCCAGAAGTAGTATAGGAGCCCGTAACTCGAACTGTAGGATGTTTTTCGTGGATTATTTCCTCCTCTTTTTGTTAGATGGAATGTTTTCATGAGTGTTCCACAACAGGATTTGTAAGCTTTTTGCGTGGTTGAACACGTTCATCAATATACCTTTGTGATCATATGCAAATGAAATCGCCAGCTCATTCTCCTTGTTTTATTTGAATTTGATGATGTATGTTTCGTGTTAAAGGGTAGTCAATATTTGCACATGATTCCGTGTTGTTTCTTTCGGTTTTATTCACTTAATTAACAAAGTGTATTTACATGACAAAATGCTAATTAAATTAGTGTAATTTTACCTTATGAGATTTAAATAAAATATTTACATGAGAAAGGTGTAAAATGGAAAGAAGAGCCAAAAGTGAGGTTCATCGACAGTTTAACACTTTAAGTGGTGCTGGAAGGATCAAAGTGGAAATGAGAAATCATTAATATTTACTTATCTTATTAATTTTGGACACCATAAGAAAATTATTTAATTGCAAAGGCCAACACCCTCCAAGGGAAAGGAGAACGGTAAAGTTGGGACACTAACCTCAACCCTAATCCCACGGGTAAGTGGAAGACTGACTTTGAGATACTTCTTACAAGTAATCCTAACGAAGCCATTTGCTTCTTGAGGGGACTAAATGGACATTGATAGAGTAGCTATCCTAAATACTTAGAGATATAAAGATGAACAAAGGCAATCAGTATTGCACTTTAGGTATTTACATGATTGACTTCATAATACTTCTTCAAACTCTTGGGTCTTAAATAGAGGTTGTGGCTAAAACGTTGAAGCATGCGGAGTTCAACTTGATTATGGATAACAAACACACAAATGTCGTCAAGAGGATTGGGCAACACCACCTCACGCTTTCTACTGTATTTTCTGCCATGTTATTAGATTGTTGTTATTCGCCATAAATGACTACAAACATTATTTATGTTAATGCATTGTATCTGGATGGTTTTGATTTTTAATTTTAGAATAGTACTATTTCGGTTTACAAGAATAAGTAACATTAGTTTAAAGCAAATCCATGTAATTGTATTTATGAAACTGTTATAGGCATTAGAAGAAATAAAAGCATAATCTTAAACATTGATTGAAATGTATCCAAAGATACTTTAGATAAATCATGTTTTTCGAATTGTCGTCTTGGCCATATAAATAAGAAATTCCAAACCCCAAGCTCCAAGCAAATGGGATTTGAATCATTTGACCAAAACCAAAAGATGATGTACGCAAATCTTTTTTATTAGGGAAGATGGATAAGGCCTCATTCACAGAAAACTATAAAAGAGGGAAGAATATGTTGGACCTTATACATACTAATGTATGTGGACTATCCATATCAGCTACAAGACATGGTGAGAGATACCTCGTTACATTTATTGATGACTTCGGTAAATATGGTTATGTTTATTTGATTAAACATAAGTATGATATGAGGTGTTCACGACATTCTAGAATAAAGTGTTATTACAAAAAATTGTCATTTATTAACATACATTTTTAATGACATATTTTTTATGTGCCACTATATTATGTTTTCTATGTGCCACTATAAAAATTAATGAATTTAATGGCACTTAATATTTTATAACGCTAGTAATCATAATTATTAGTAGGCATAATGTTTTAATATGCCACTAAAAGTTATGTTTTCTAAAAAATATTTTTAATTATTATAATAATAAGAATATATTACAAAATAGTCCATAGTCTTTACCAAAATAACAACTTTGGTTTATTTTTAGCATTAAATGTGGTTGTTTATGAGTTCGATTTCTATTTAAAATATTGATCATAGTAATAATCATAATCAGACAATTTGTAAATGCATTTATGTGATAACTTATAAAAGATTGTGGTGGCAATTTTAAATTAAAAATATAAGGCGGGGGGGGGGGGGGGGGTTAAGAAGGTAATTAACATTGGAACCATTTCTTGTTTGTTTTAGATAAGAAATAAAAATCTGCATTTCTAGTTATTTCCAAAAAGTGCAATACCATTTCTCCATACACTGAAGAGAAAGAAAGTTGAGAGGGGTGAGCTAGAGAGAGAGAGAGAGAGAGAGAGAGAGAGAACAAGGAACGAAGAGAGAATAGGGATCAAATTCGCTTCTCCTTCCAGTGTCACATCCTTGTTGAACCAGAAGAGCCTTCATCTTCACCTTCCACAAAGTGAAATCATCCGAACCAATGAAATGCTCCAAATCGAATTTGTGAGATGTCATCTTCAATCAACAGAACACCAACCACAACTCTAATACCACCTGTTAGGGAAACAGATGATATTTTCAAGAGTCATAACAAATCTGATGTCACTTGCAATGTTCTGATGACCCTTGTTAGGAAGTAATTTCGATAACACACAAAACCTAAAGCACACAAAGATACAATATTTGCATGGTTCGGTCAAGCTAAACTATGTCCATGGGCAGGAGACGAGTATTCCTTATTCACATATTTCTCAAATAGAGATTACAAGTACAACCAACATAGATTCGTCCTACTCGCTAAGGGGACAAAGAAAAGACACATGAGTTAGCATGCATCTCTATTTATTCTTGAGAGGTTAGACCTAAAACTCTAATGGTTCAAGAATATTGGCCCATGGGCCCATAAAAGGTGTCAACCAATCACAATCCGCCATCCGGCATCTTCTGGAACATTCATCCATGTCATATAACCCATGAGCATCAACAACACACATAATGGAGCATCATGAGCCATAATTACGCATCATGAACACTAGTGGTGTTTCATCCATTATGTTTGTGCATCAATGTGTATTCCTTGAACATCTTCAACTTCATGGCACCCTTGGAAAATCTTGAGCATCATAAAGGACGTCATACCATACAGCTCATCAAGGGATACCTTGTCATATCAAGGAAACAAATGGCACATCCTTGCATCAAGATGGTGCATCAAGCATGTAGATGGCACATCCTCTCCTAGGTTGGCACATCTAGACACCAAGTTGGCGCATCATCTCCATAATTATGCATCCTCCTCATGAATGGTGTATCATATCACTTGGTGGCATATCCTGTCACCCAGTGGCATATCATGTCACTGAGTGGCATATCAAGTCACTTGGTGGCACATCAAGTCACTTGGTGGCATATTATGTCCCTTGGTGGCATATTAAGTCACTTGGTGGCTTATCAAGTCACTTGGTGGCTTATCATGTCACTTAGTGGCATATCAAGTCACTTGATGGCATCTCATGTCACTTCATGGCGTCTGATGTCACTTTGGCATATAATATCCTTTATCATGAGATCCATTCATTTGTGAGGAGATCCATTCTCTTCTCAGATGATCCATTCATTTCTCACATGCTCCATGACTCCCAAGTGCTCCATTAAGTTCCAAGTGCTCCATTGAACTCTTTGGGAGGAAATGTCATTCTCCTACATGCTGGTTGGATCCGGGGAGAAACAGTTTGCGAGCTCGGAAGATTATACTAATTATTGATGATAAATTGAAGATAGTTTGTGATCGCTTGTGTGTGGTATATGAAAGGGAAAAAGAAGTATTTATCTTAAAAGCACTAAAAATGACCTTTGAGGTGGCTGAGAAAGTAATGCCGAAAGTCTCACCACGGAAAGGAATTATTCCCTTCGGCAAGCGAGGCCTATTTAAACCTCATTACATCGGTCCACTTGTTATGTTGTAGTGTGTCTGTGATCAGGCGTACAAGTTGGATTTACCGCTAGAGCTAGAGGGAATCTATATTATTTTCCATATTTGTTACATATAGAAGCGTTTAGCCGAGGAGCGGAGCATACTACCTTTGGATGAGTTGCGGTTTGACGAGTCGAAATGATTAATGGAGGTACCCGAGGCAATCTTGGAACGTGAAACCAATCAACCGCTTAAGGAGAGGGTGAATCTCGTGAAAGTCTTGTGTAATAACAAACCTAAAGGTCACAAGACTTGGGAGCTTAAGGATAACATGGGGGCATGTTATCATCGCCTTTTTGTTCCAATTCTTGATTCCAGGATGGAAACCTCTTAAGGAGGGGAGCATTGTAACGACCCATATTTTTGTTTCCGTCATCTAGGGTAGTTTTTCTTATGCTTGCATGTTAAAACTACCTTTTAGCTTGGTTAAAGTTAACTTCCGGGGGGGGGGGGGCAAAGTTCAAGAAAATGATTCTTGATCATGTATACGGGTCATGGGGTCATTTTCTCACACTTTAGAGGCCTCGAATGAAAGTTATCATGTATTTAAAGAAGTTAAACCCTAAAATCCAGGAATGACTTCACTTTGAAGCCACTAAACCCTAGTTTTCAGCCTCCAAGACCCTTTAAAGTGTATTCTTAAGTGTCTTTTCCGTAATTGCAGATATGTTGATGATCTAAGTAGTGGTGTGGTGATTTTCGGTGCTTCAAAGTATGGATATTTCCTTCTAAAGATGAAGACTTCTTATGTGCTTCATCTCCTAGAAATTCATGATATTTCCATGAGGTATTAATTGCTTTCTTATCATCCATCTCTACTTTGATATATATTGATACATAATGTTATTGGAAAGTTTGACCTTGTTACTGGTGTAAAGTACATCAAAGTTTAAAGAAAACTTGATAGCATTACATTTCCCTGATTAGTATAGAAGTCTAATAACTGGGTTCGGTTTTACATAGATAAGATTAGTATTAACATATATATCCGAAGTCCTAGCTTATATCAAAATTGGAAGTAGTATAAATACTACTTGCGGCGAGTACTACGCCGAACATTGGACTCTGCTCCCTGGTGTTTTGTTTCTATTAAACGCCTTTCCAGGGCAATCTGATGCTCCCTTAGTATTCTTAATTCATCTTGGGCACCATCCACTTGTCCTTGTAGTACTTCGGTGTGAGTTCGGGTTTGGTCATGAACTTCATCTAAACGATCAACAGTGTTAATCTGGGCAGTTGCATTTACTTCAAGGATTCGGTTTATTGAATTTCGCGCCTGATCAATTTGGCGAGCAATGTGATGTACTATGACAGGGAGAGCCCTGTTGACTGAACCTCCTTCATAGAGGTCATAAAAACCTCTTGTAATCCTGTAAGGAGGGCGTTGTCGTTGTTGTCGACTCTACTGGTGCAAGTATGCGGCCCATGCTGGTGTCGGTCCTTGAAAATCTTGTCCT